TAGATAGATAGATAGATAGATAGATAGGTAGGTAGGTAGGTAGGTAGGTGGGTGGGTGGGTGGGTGGGTGGGTGGGTGGATAGATGGATGGATGGATGGATAGGTGGATAGATAGACAGATAGACAGATAGATAGATAGATAGATAGATAGATAGATGGGTGGGTGGGTAGGTGGGTGGGTGGATGGATAGATGGATGGATGGATGGATGGATAGGTGGATAGATAGACAGACAGATAGACAGACAGATAGACAGACAGACAGACAGACAGACAGACAGATAGATAGATAGATAAGGTAGAAATGTAGGTAGGTAGGTGGATGGATGGATGGATGGAGAGAGAGAAAGATAGATAGGGAGGGAGGGGGTCAAATGCGTCATCACTCATGAGTCCCGCCCACAAGGGATGTAAGTCCAGCCCTCCTTGAACTCCTTTGACTCTTATCTACCGCCAATTTGTTTTCTCCATTAGTAGGTCAGATTCTTGTAGAGAGCTTAAGCTTACAATACATTTTTATGCTCATTTGAACTGCCTGGATTTTTTGATGTCCCTGGGGCTTGACAGGTGGCCCTGATCCTTTGTGCCCGACAACAGACGAGGACATGAGGAAGAGGCCCTGGGTTGAGGAGGTCGATTCAAGGACAGAGGGACCTGTTGTGGTCACAGAGTTGGAACCTTTGAAGGGACTATGATGCGCCTTTCACGGTAGGTGATCCAAGTCTTTGAACTGGTCCTTCTCTTAGAAGCATCAAGAAACTGATTGGCCAAACCCTCCAGACTGGAAAACAATCTGGTAGTTGAGATTTTTGCAACTTGATCTAAGAAACCTCGGTGAACGAACTTCGGAAGAATCTTGCTTTCCGGGGAAGCAAGCAGACATCCCAGGGTACCCCAAGACTCATCTTGGGGAAAAAAAAAAATCCTGCCTCCCCAAAGGAAATGGGGGAGAAGTAGACTTGGCACCTGACCTCAAGACAAGAATGCCACCTTTTTTTAGCCTGATGGCCTTCTCCAAAGCCATCAGCATGGGAGACTAATGGCCTCGTTCAAAGCTGGGATGGCTGCCCTCTGCCTTCTCCTTGTGTAACTTTGCCAGAGTCCTTGGGAGTTGCCAAAATCGGTCACGCCTGCTTAGCTCTCTCGAGTGATGGTGCCAAAAGAGAAAATAAGACACAGATGTATTTCAGCGCCTGGCGATGCCAGACAGACAGCTAATAGCTTCATTTCGGCCCTCCCCTACCAGCTGGGCACAGGTGGGGGGGGGATAATGAGGTGTCTTTCCCTAATCAAACTCAATTATTTAACACTCTCTGTAACGGCAAAGACGTTCGGCGCTCAGTTCAAGGTATTTAAAGGCTTGGAGGTGTTCTCTTCCAACCACTGGTGGGGAGCCGAGTCGAACGACGGAGGTGATGATGGAACAGTGACTTGGGCGCAAACCTCTGAGTGTGCAAACTCTGGCTGCCTCCTTCACCTCTGCAGGAAAAGGTGCCATCCAAAATGTCTTCCAACTTCAACTATGGAAGAGTCAGTACGGCAAAGTGGACGACTAATAGCTACCTCACCTTGCGGCTGGCCCCTGAAAGGACAGCTGCCTGCTATCATCTTATCTATCTATCTATCTATCTATCTATCTATCTATCTATCTATCTATCTATCTATCTTCTTCTTCTTCTTCTTCTTCTTCTTCTTCTTCTTCTTCTTCTTCTTCTTCTTCTTCTTCTTCTTCTTCTTCTTCTTCTTCTTCTTCTTCTTCTTCTTCTTCTTCTTCTTCTTCTTCTTCTTCTTCTTCTTCTCCTTCTCCTTCTCCTTCTCCTCCTTTTCCTTCTCTGTATGTTGCTAAGAACCAAAGAAGACAAGAATCTTCTCGTGGGACAAACAGCCAAGAATATTTGTGGCGTTCGAAGCATAGAAGAGCTTGGTGTCACTACCTGTACAGGAGAATCTGGCCAACTAACGGTCAAAGCTAAACTGGCGCTAGATAAAAGATCCACGGAATTCACAGGGCTGGACTTGGGCCTCTTTTAGCAAGGCAATGATTCCAAACTGATGACATGTTTAACTCCGCCTTCCAGCTCAGCCTGCTCGTCTTCTAGAAATCGAATGGTGTGCTCCAATAAGCTGGATTTTTAGCTTCCGGGATTCTCAGTGGCCACAGGGCTGCAGATGATAGGTGTGTATCTGCATTGCTATTCAGTTTCCTTTCCTTCTCTTCTCTTTTGCTTTCCTTTCCTTTCCTTCCTCCCCCTTCTCTCCTCCTATAGCTGTCCATCTCACAAACATATGGAGGGTGAAATAAAATCAGAGAAAAGAAACAGAAAAGAGAGCATTGATCATATACATTTCCCAAACTTACAGGGAAGGAATGCAGGCTAAACCCCTGATACAGGACTGGATCCCCAATGCATTGTGTTCTACAACGAATGTTTCTTAAGATACTTTGAGGATCATTCCTCCATTGGTCTTTCATTACTGTATGAGCTTATCATGCTCATATTCTTAGAGCGATCAGTTAGTTGATCAATAAATAGGAGACAGAAGAGACTTACATTCGGACAAAAAGGGACTGCTTGGCCACCAAGCCCGGCGATGAATACTTCTCGACCAGGGCCAGCGTGCTGAAGCCGAACTTGTGAATGGGTTCGTTGCAGTCCAGAGGCGGGAAATCAGTGTCAACTTCCCCATCGTCTTCAGCAATGTGGAGGCAGTACGCGCTGACATTGTCGCTGCGAGGAAGCAGGAGAAAGAGAAGTTGGGAGGCCCACACAGGAAGAAAGAAACTCAAGTTTATGAATCATGATTTGTGATGCTGAGTTTGGTAAATGTCCACGGAGATGCTCCCTAGAGGTTTACCAAATAGATAAGATTTTTTTATTTTTATTTTTAAAAAGGGCTTTGAATATTTGGGAACACAAAGAGGCAAATCGTTGCTGCCCTGGGTTTTTATCCCCTTGTGAACTTGATTTTTTTACCCTCTCCCTCCTCGTTCCATTGGACGAGTCCAAGTGGAAGTTTGCACTCTCTCTGACTGATGCTGAAATTAATTAATAGTCAAGCGCATGTTAATTGTTTAATTGGCTGCTTGATCTATATGGATCATTTTTGGAAGCGGCATTAAATGAGTTGATTTACAAAGTTTATTGATTGGATGTGACAGTGAATTATTTTGCCGACTCCCTGATTCGCTATTTTCCCCAATTAATTCGCATAACTTGGGCTGGTAACTTTGTTCGCCAAGCGTGCCTATTCCAGGTGATTCATCCTCAAGCTGTCATTAATTATATTAGGGAGGTAATAACAAGCCCCTGAAGTGTCTCTGGCTTGTGTATCTGTTCAACAAACAGTTAACCAGAAAACACAGGCTCCTGGGATGCAACTAGTTCTCGACTTACAATCGTTTGTTTAGTGACTGTTCCAACTTACACCGGGCATTGGGAAAAAAAGGTGGGTTATGGTCGATTTTCACACGAGCAAAGGGTCCTTGGTGGCTTCTGAGCTTGGTGGGTTTTTTTGCAGACACTTCATTGCAGACCCTAGACCAGGGGTAGGCAACCTTGGCTCTTTTATGACTGGTGGACTTCAACTCCCAGAATTCCTGAGCCAGCCATGCTGAGGGGAAAGGGAGAGGTTTCCAAGCTGAGCCATGCTGGCTCAGGAATACTGGGAGCTGAAGTCCACAAGTCATAAAAGAGCCAAGGTTGCCTACCCCTGGCCTAGTCCATTGTTTCTCCACCTCAGCAACTTTAAGACTACCTATACCAGGGGTAGGTGTGGCTGCCAGTGTCCAAGGCTCTTCATACAATGAAACCCATAGGTCAGGGGTAGACAACCTTGGCTCTTTCATGACTCATGGACTTCAACTCCCAGAATTCCTGAGCCAGCCACGCTGAGGGGAATGGGAGAGGTTCCCAAGCTGAGCCATGCCGGCTCAGGAATTCTGGGAGCTGAAGTCCACGAGTCATAAAAGAGCCAAGGTTGCCTACCCCTGAACTAGGCCAACCATGTTTCCACGTCGTGTGACGGTTTCTCTCCGGCTAATCTACGCTTTGGGCCTCTACGCTTCCGCTTGGCTTTCCATCCTCAGACAAACGGGCGGTTAGAGAAGGAAGGTGCGAACTCTCGCTTGCCGACAAGTTCTCCAGTCCGATTAAAAGGCAGTCGAAATTAAGCAAACCAGAAACACGCAGCTTAAGAAAGAGAAATGTGTCCCCTCACTCTATCTGAATTTAGGGAAATGAGGTGCTGTTTCACTCCCACCTGTCAAAAAAAAGAAAGAAAAAAAAGCAGCTTCAACCCTCAGGGACGTGAAAAGGCTACCTATGTAGTGACACCCGACGTGGAGGTGATTTGTCTTTTTTAAAAAACCAAACAAACAAGACACCCACACCCCCAAAAGGGAGTGCATCTCCAAATGATTATTCATTTATATGACACCAGCTTCGTAGGCTTGTCATTACACACTACCCGGTAATTTAATTGAAAGAGAAATAGATATAAATGTACGCAGAGCTCGGAAGGGAATATTGATAAATGGGGAAGTGTTGTGGTAAGATTTATCTGGTGTGTGTGTGTGTGTGTGTGTGTGTGTGTGTGTGTGTGTGTTTTCCGTTCAATCGTGTCCAATTCTTGGAGACTCTCTGGACAAGTCCCTGCAGGTTTTTGGGCAAAGTTTTTTAGAAGTGATTTGCTGTTGCTGTCTGTCCGTCTGTCCATCCATCCATCCATCTTGTACCCATCTATCTATCTATCTATCTATCTATCTATCTATCTATCTATCTATCTATCTATCTATCTATTCAACGTATTTATCTATCCATCTACAGTATCTATTCATTTTGTCATCCATCTATCTATCCATTCTATCTTATCTACTTAACGTATCTGTCTATTCATCTATCCATTCATTTTCCATTCATGATACCTATCCATCATGTGTCTGTCTGTTTGTCTATCTATCTTGTACCTATCTATCTTATCTATCCACTCAACGTATCTATCTATCCATCCATCTATCTATCATGTATCTATCCTATCCTATCCTATCCTATCCTATCCTATCCTATCCTATCCTATCCTATCCTATCCTATCCTCTATCTATCTATCTATCTATCTATCTATCTATCTATCTATCTATCTATCTATCTATCTATCTATCTATCTATCTATCTATCTATCTATCTATCTATCTATCTATCTATCTATCTATCTATCTATAGAGAGAGAGAGAGAGAGATTTTAGAGGACTCTCTGAAAGGACCTACTTCAACTTAGGTTCCCGTCCTTCGCTCGTGAACTGCCAGCAGATGAGCCCAATCAAGTCCTGCACCTTGGCGTTGGCAA